TCGTGGACCTATGCATGGAATGTTTCGCCACCGGAGATAGAACCAATTATGACCCACAAATACCAATTTTTATACAAATCCGTGAAAAAATGTGACAAAAATATGAGGCGATCGACACTTTAGTATTTTTAGTGCCAACCTTGCTTTCCAAAATTCTCCAGGCACAATAGTCCAACGGATTGGTACCCGGAATCTTTGGTGGCCATTGTGCACTGAAAATGAAGCGAGGAACCTCATTTTGTAACCATTCTTGGGTGGCGCGTGCTGCGTGCGATGGTACTGAGTCCGGTTGGAATGTCCAAGTTCTGCGGCCAAAATGTTTGAGTGCTCAAGGCTTTAATACACCCTCCAGAATATTATCACGATAATATTCGGCATTTATTCTGATGCCACGGTCGACTTTAATGAGCGGAGAGCGACCATCGGCTGTTATGGCGGCCCACACCATCACCATGGTCGGTGCTTGATTTCTGGTGGCCAACCGAAGGTGCACATTTTCAGCTGACCTAATTGGCAAGTAAACATGATCAGTTTGTTTCGGCAGTTCACAACTTTCGGCCAAGCGAAGGAACTCTTTAGCTCTTTTGAGTCTATTTTTTTCCCTGTTGCGGTGGAAGTTCTTGCACTTTTTGGAATTTCAATGGCTCATTTTTCAATATTTGCCGAATGGAATATTGCGATATATTCAGCTCACAAGCCATTTTTCGGCCACTGCGACGCGTTTTTCGATCAAGTCGCTTCTTTACTTTTCGAACTGTTTTATTCCGTCCACTTCCTTGACGTCGGGCTACGCTACCAATATCACCGTAACGAGCGATGGTACACATTTAAATGCTGGAGTGCTCTAACGATAGCCACTTTGGTTTTCCAACCAAATATAAAGAAATCACACTATCACGCTTGAATTCCACCACGAATAAATTTTTTTCTGGACAATTCTCACCAAAATGCTATTGTACGCTTGTAAACAATATAATGAGCTGTCACTGGACAGCTGTCGGACGAGTGGCTTAGAAATGACAGCAGTCTGAAGTTGGTTGCAATTTGTTCTCTCTGTATATGGGGGCTATACCAATGCGTAGACCTATACATAAAATTTTTCGCCACACGAACTAGGACCCATTATGACCTACAAATAAAAATTTTCAGACAAACTTGGACCGATATATCTCATTTTCAATACCAGCCATTCTAGACACAATACAAATTGTTTAAAATTTTGACGCTCTACGTCAAATAATGTGGACTGTATCGTGATTTCAACAGACAGACAGGCATACATCGTTAAATCGACTTAGAATATATATATATATATATATATATATATATATATATATATATATCTATATATATAAATGTAAGTTGTGTTAGTTACTACGCTTATAACTTAAGAACCGCTGGATTAATTTTAACGATTCACACAAATTCGGAGTTGTCTACTCTCCGAAAAGGATAATATCCAAAAAAATCGCGTAAAAATGTGATATATTAACATTTTCATTTTGACTTTTCAAATGTACAATAGTAATGTTTTATTGTGCATGATTTTTTTTCCATTTTGACTTACTTTTTTCTAATGTACATTTGTAGTGTTTTTTTTATATTTTATTTTTGAATTCGAATATTTATACCAATTTATTTAATTGACTTGATTTCTTGAGAACTGAAATTGATGGCGGGTTACATGGAAGTGTAGTAGCGAATTATGTGGTGGCGAAACGGAATAGATGATATCGAAATAATTTAACGCGGTCACACCAAAGTTAAAAGATAATTACTTTTTCTAAATCGCTGAAAAATCATGAAAAAGAGATCTCATTGCAAAAATCAAAAAAACATTTTCAATGGAATCGAATTTTAAAGTAATAGTACATTCTATTGACAAACTTTGTAAGGAAGGATCTTAAAACATTTGCTGTAAAAAATCAGCGAAAAAGTTGAAGACTTTTTCAATTTGTTATTCTTTTTTTTGTCAATTTTTTTTTTTAATTTGTATTATCATATTGAATTCAGTGGATTTTTTGTGAACAAAATAAAGAATAATTTTTCACTAAAAAAATTAAATAAGTGCGAAATAGGATGTTAACTGACATCTACCTTTCAACTCCAGGGCCTACATCGTGGGTTAGCTGAAAGATGCGAACACATTTAAACAAACAAAAATGACCGAAAAAGCTTAACAAAGCGTGACAATGATCCGTCCAATGAGAGCTCAAAATGCAAAATTCTTTGGGAGAATAATAAGTAATATACCAATATTGAAATAAAAGGTGCAAAATAGTAGAGCGAATGGGACTTTTAGTAAGAAAAGGTTTTATATCCTTCCAGAAATTCTTCCCAAACATTCAAAATACCTAAAATCACTTTTGCAGGTCTTTATATCGATCATAACTCATGGATAAGGGAACAACCCGATTTCATATTTATATAACCATCTATGATTTAAGTTATTTTTGGGGTCATGGCGGGCCACTTTTTTCATTTTTTGGCCCTAATTTGACATTTTTGTTTCTAAGGGGGTAGATAACCTCTTCGCATAAAATTTGAAATTTTCAGAGTAGGGCCCATATTGGTATTGACCAAATTCATCAATTGATTTGGCTAAAAAATTTTATTTATGCCACCCTGGGGTAGGGAACCATCATACAGATAATTGCCACATAGGAATTTATTTAAGTAAAGTCCCCACATTGGAGTATCCCCAAGTCCACTTTCACATCTAATGTGTGGTCAGAAAAGAAAATTTTGTATTCTATTGAATTTTTAACCCCCAAGAGAATATTGGTTGGGAACGTAGATTTGGGATGTGCATCCATATGAAATAAATTGTGGAAACATGAAGAAATTACAAATATAAGAAAGTAGCACGGGACCGAATATTTGTTTAATCATCATTGAATTATCCTATGATGAAAATATGGACTTTAGGGGTCTCCAACTTACAATTTAAATGGCAAATAAAATTAATTCCCATCTTATCATTCTGCCCTCAATTATGAGGTGGATAAAACTATTTTTACTTATTTAAATCACGCGAAATGCTATGACATGCTATATTGTTCTGCTATATTTTTGATTTGGCCTCTATTTGTCATCTTGGATTATAAGGGGTAGAAGAAAGTTTTCAATGTAGGTCGATGTTTCGGAGTAGTGCCCATATAAAGAAGGTACCTCCTGATTTAACCACATTTCAAAGAATTTGGCTAATAATGCGTATTAGGGGGGTGAAAATCTTACACTAAAATTTCAACATATCTACAAATTTTAGAATTTTTATCCATGTTATAATACCCTCTCAAGTCCACCTTTTGGCGGACAAACAGACTGACATGGTTAGGGGGACTTATGAGGACTCTAATGCACAATCTAAGTTGCTAATGGGTTTAAAAAAGTAATTAACTTTGGCTATTCTTAAATCATTCAGCCCTCAATTATGTAGTATACAAAATACAGCAAATTCCAAATTACTGCTCATTTGACTGGAAGATTTTGCTACGATTTTTACCATATTAAAAATTAATTTGATCCCTTATATGGCGATAAGATTGATATATACTTTTTAATAGATTTGTATAGCACATCCACACAGTTGAAGCCCACGGTTTAAATATTGAAGCCCACTGGTTAAAAATGGGTACAGGTATTTTAAAACACTTTAAATCGACCTGTACGTGAACACTTATATCAGTCATATCTGTGAATAATTATGCTTGGGAATATATGCATAATAGACAAAAACTACGGGCCGGCAACGCGGACCGGGCCAGCTAGTATATATATATATATATATATATATATATATATATATATATATATATATATATATATATATATATATTAACTATGTCATTCCATTTGTAAAATATACGTTATGGGGTCTACGACGAATATTTTGGAATTTTACAAATGGAATGACAAAGTTAATATACCCTCCTTTCCAAGGTAGAGGTCATAAAACCGAATATTATATTATTTATATGAGGGCTATACGAAAACCTGGACCAACATGGCCCATATACGAACTAAATCTGCCTACTGAAATAATACACATGTATGCAAAATTCTACTATCTCAATTCGTTCGAAACATAACGTGATTACAAAAGACAGACGGACAAAGATACAGACGGATATCGCTTAATCAACTTAGTATTTACGCTGGTCAAAAATATTCATATACTTCAATGGGTCTTGCGTGAGTATTCCGAGGAGTCTCAAGCGGAATGACAAAATAAATATGGTGGAGGGTATAAGCAGTCATTTGGCGAGGTCTGTATAACACTTTTGACTCTGCAGAACTTTATCTTCTTTTCAATTGTTCTATAAATAAAGCACATGTCTATTTTTGATACTTTTTTTATTTTCTAACTTTTTGAATACCACGCTTAACATATTCTTAACCTGCTTAACACCATACTTGAACTTGAAAATGATTGGACTTTGGATTGATTTAGAATAAAAGATCTGAACAAAAATCTATTTCCGGAAATAATTGAAAGCATCTTATAACACTATGGACGACCCACACTATTAAGAAGATCAAAACAAAAGTGCTAAAATTCAAATCATTACGATGCTCATTGTTCTTTTTGCGTGATCGACGTTAAATAACCTAACAAATCTTTTAAGAGTATCTCTTAATATGTACATGTGTATGTTGCGTTGAAAGTGATGATGGTTTTGCTTTTGATAGGCATATATTTAGATTATCGATTTTAATTGTATCAAACCTATTGTTAGAAAGCAGATTATTTGTTTTCTGGACAAGTCAAAAGTATAAATGCGAAAAATTCTTGTGCGGTAAATCATAACACACATCGTCTCTCATTCCATACGCTGGTCAGTCTCAAGAAGAATGGTATGTACAAAAAATATAATGCAAAATTTGGCAAACTTTGTAAATCAAGGATTTTATTTATTCTAAATGGACACTATTACCGAAAACATATATGCCTTAAATAAAAGCTTTCATAATTCAATTCTCACTACCAATTGTTTCAGAGAATATTCGTTTTTGCTTTGGCTGCTTTAGCGGCTGCATCCGCAGCTTCTATAAACCGTGAATATTTAACTCCAGTTGTGGATAATAGCCTGACAACACAGGAGTATATCGCACCGGAAGCTAATACAGAACCTGCTCCATTGACCGATGATGGCTATCGCTACAAGGTAGTTCGTAAACAGAAGTTGAGAAGCCGTCGCGATGTAAGCGAATTAGTCACCAATGAATACTTGCCACCGGCAAACAATGGAGTTGCCACAGCCACTGAGGAAACCGTAGTTGTCGAAGAACCCGCTGTTGATGCTAGTCAGGATAGTGCCGTTTTGGCTGATGATGGATACCGTTACAAGACCGTTCGACGCATCCGTTATCGCAGACGCCGTGATGTCAATGAATTGCCCACCAACGAATATTTGCCTCCTACAGTTGCCACCGAACAAGAAATTGTCGTAGAAGCTCCTGTTGAAGCTCCCGAGGAATCTGTTTCCCAAGAATCTGCCGTCTTGGCTGATGATGGATACCGTTACAAGACTGTTCGCCGCATTCGTTATCGCAGACGTCGTGACGTTAATGAATTGCCCACCAACGAATATTTGCCTCCTGCAGCTGCCACCGAACAAGAAATTGTCGTGGAAGCTCCTATTGGAGCTCCCGAGGAATCTGCTTCCCAAGAATCTGCCGTCTTGGCTGATGATGGATACCGTTACAAGACTGTTCGCCGCATTCGTTATCGCAGACGTCGTGACGTTAATGAATTGCCTAGCAATGAATACTTGCCTCCTGCAGCTGCCACCGAACAAGAAATTGTCGTCGAAGCTCCTATTGAAGCTCCCGAGGAATCTGCTTCCCAGGAATCAGCTGTATTGGCTGATGATGGCTACCGTTACAAGACTGTTCGTCGCATTCGTTATCGCCATCGTCGCGATGTTAATGAATTGCCTAGCAATGAATATTTGCCTCCTGCAGCTGCCACCGAACAAGAAATTGTCGTAGAATCCCCTGTTGAAGCCCCCGAGGAATCTGCTTCTCAAGAATCTGCAGTCATGGCTGATGATGGTTATCGTTATAAGACTGTTCGTCGCATTCGTTATCGCCATCGTCGTGATGTTAATGAATTGCCTAGCAATGAATACTTGCCTCCTGCAGCTGCCACCGAACAAGAAATTGTCGTGGAATCCCCTGTTGAAGCTCCAGAGGAATCTGCTTCCCAAGAATCTGCCGTATTGGCTGATGATGGATACCGTTACAAGACTCTTCGTCGCATTCGTTATCGTCATCGTCGCGATGTCAATGAATTACCCAGCAATGAATATTTGCCACCCGCTTCAGCCTCTGAACAAGACATTACTGTCGAATCTATTCCTGAACAAAGTGCTGTGATTGCTGAAGCCCCAGTTGAAGCCGCTTCTCAAGACACTGCTGTATTAGCAAATGACGGTTACCGTTACAAGACTATTCGTCGTATCCGTTATCGTCGTCGTCGCGATGTTAATGAACTCCCCTCGAACGAATATTTGCCACCTGCTGTATCACAAACCGAAGAAATTGCCAGTATCGTTTCTGTTCCCGAACAATCTACCGTCTTGAGTGATGATGGATACCGGTATAAGACAGTTCGTCGCCTAAAATATCGTCAACGTCGTGATGTAAATGAGTTGGCTGGCAGCGAATATTTGCCTCCGGTTTCGGAAAATACTTTTGACTCAGTTGTAGCTGTTGAAAGTCCCCAAGAAGCAGCTGTACTTGCTGATGACGGCTACCGTTACAAGACTGTTCGTAAACTGAAACACAGACGTTACTAAGTTAATCGATTATACACATATATTATTAATTAGGAATCAATCCATTAGGAAATAAATATAGTGACTGAATTACAAAACGCCTATTAATACAATTAAAAATATTTTAAAACATCTCTCTGGGTCTTTTAATTTGAGTACGAATTTCTTCACTTCTCTGAGTCGGAAACTATCCAAACTAAACAAAATTTTCCTAAAAAACACATGCAAATTTTCGAACCTAAACCAAGGAATCTGAGCAGATATTCTGAGAAGAAAGAAAAAGGAATTCTCAGTAAAATCTCAAAAAATAACCATAGATTCTTGAGGATTATAAATTTTCAAAATTTTTACTTGTATTCTGGTTTTTAGGTATTATCAGTGCAATTTATAGCTTACATTTTTGTGAAATATTTTAAATTTGTAATACAACATTGAGATTTATTTCTACCTTAGTCCAGACAAGGAGAGTTCCCCTTACTTACTATTGTTTTTGTCACCACTATTACTGATCAAGTGTAGACTAAAGGCCTGCACAAGACGAAGTGTATGAATTATGCTTTTTTCGACACACTGACTTTGTCTACTCAATCATGTCTACTATGTATTTGATAGACAATGACAACCAACAACATCCCCCATTTTGATTCATGTGTGCCATTGTCCAAGGTTCGATCGTGGCATGGCTGACTCGAATATTTGCATGGTGTTCTCCATAAATGCAAGGTGTCGGCGATGACATCGAACCGTGACATCGTCAAATTGTGTGTCATTTGTGTACGTGTACTTAAATTGAGAGAGTGTGTGTGTGTTACTTTCGAAGGTGAGGGTGTATTTTTGTGTGTGCTCCCTGCAGAAAACGGTGGAGGTATTGATGAACTGCGAGTGGTGCTACACTGATGAAAAAGTCAGTAGTATCAATGGTTGTAGGCGGCGAGTACTGCTTGACTACTCGCAAGTGCTGCACTGTTTTTTTTTTTTATAATCGCATATATTGGTAACACTGTCAGCATCTGATTATGCTTATTTGTGATTTGTGTTTTGTGCATTGTGTGGACTTGCAAGTAAAATATTTTTTTTTTTTTTTTGAAATTATATATTTTACTTAATTTCTATTTTGCAATTTAATATTGTTTTGAAATAAAAATAGCTGAATGAAAACAAAATCTGTCTTTCGTTCGCAATGGCAATGCGAATAATTACGTTCGTGCAGTATGTTCAGTTACTTTCTTTCAATGGCGACTGATGCAAAATTCAGCAGTCGCTCACCCCTCACAGAGCGCTGCAAAAGCGAGTACTGATTTTCACACGACAGTCCAGTGTAACAGTCAGCAGCTCTTACCGTTAACGGGGAAATGAAGAGCGAGTGGTCGGTATCGCTTGGCGAGTACTCGAGCAGCACTGCGGTACTACTCTTTTTTCTGAAGGGCTGTAATTTTGAAGTAACAAACACCGCGTAAATATAAAATTGAGATCAATAACAAAATGTGCATAGACATCAACAAATGAATAGAAAAAATGAAATATATACTGAACAATCCCAATTTATTGGTGATTTTCATAAAATTTTGGTCATAAAAAAGAGGTAAATATTGTTTGCCTGTTTTCTATCCACATATAGCGTTCTTTTAAAATTAAAGTTTGTGGACAGAGATTTGACTCTCATTCAATAACAGAATATGCACAGAATTGAACAATGGAAGTATATAGTGTTGTTACGTGAATTACAGTAGCACTCATTCTCATTTACACCTCACAACCGGAGACAAACATTTATGAAATTATAATCAAAATAAGAAAATTTTTCAGGGGATTATTGTTTTTTTAATGATGATTAACATTTTAGATTGTTTCGTCAATAACCACGAAATGTGAAAATTTTGTGTGGACCAATTAGAAGTACCTTTAATTTTAGAATTCGCCAAGAAATTCTTTATTACAAAAAATTTGCCATCATCACGTGTGTGTCTTTTTCGTTAGCAATTGTTGTATACATTAAATTACTTACCACATCATTTCCAAAATTACACTATTTCCTTAGTTATTTTAATTAAAAAAATATATATCTGGTACTTCACACACATATTAGAATTTTCTAAAACTCATACAAAGTGAAGGAAGTAACCAGTATAGTCAACATTGGCCCATTCCTTCGGAACCTACTTCATAGGGTGTCAACAATTTGAATAATCATAACAGAAGTCAAAATATATTTAAACAATCAAACATTGGCTGAGGTCTTAACTTATTCCATATATAATTTGTTTTTGGGGACTCTGCATATATTTTCGGTGTTTCACTAAAAGCATAACATCGAGTTATAAGAAGAAGAAATAGTAAGGAACAAATTTTATAATTCGTCTACATGTTGTGGCAGCACCTCTAAGACTTCCTCCTGAAGCAACAGTTTCTCCAAAAAATTGTAATATATCAATTTTGATTTTTTGGGGAAAAGTCAATTTTTGAGTCAAACAATCTTTAAGCGAATGGCTTCACAAAAGTTAACTAAATGAAGACAAAAGATATTTTAATACCCTCCACCATTTGAAAAATGTCAAACGATACCGAAAAATACCAGTTAAATGAAAGCCGTTGTATGGGGGCTATACGAAGACGTGGACCTGAATAAGTAATTTTTGTCGTAGGCTGTAGTTCCCACAAAAATCTTCAAATACGAAAAGAGATCCGGTAAATAATGTTGTTAAAATCAATAAAATGCCGAATATCGGAAAGTACCGTTACAAGGGGGCTATACGAAAACGTGGGCCGATATGACCCATTTACGAACTTAACCTGCCTACTGTTAAATTACACTTGTGTGCAAAACTTTAGCCTTCCATCTCAATTCGTTCGAATGATATGTTTGTTGTCGTTACAAATAGTTGTGCAACAAGACTTGCTGTAATCCTTATTCTTTTACCCTGAATCCAAATCGCTGGCAGTTTCTATACCCTCCACCATATATAGTATGGAGGGTATATTAAGTTCGTCATTCCGTTTGTAACTCATCGAAATAATAAACCCAACAAAGTACATATATTCATGATCAGCGTAAAATTCTAAGACAATCTAGCCCTTTCCGTTCATCCGTCTGTCGTGATCACGCTAGAGTCAAAACGAAATAATATATGAATTTAAAATATTTCACAGTTCTGTCTTTTGTCTGCAGGCAGATCAAGTTCGAAGATGGACTATATCGGTCCCCGATATCGTAAAGCCCCCATATAACGGTACCCCCGATATGGATTTTTTTTTATTTTTTAATGGAATTGATTTAAAATTCACACAAAGGGTTCCTTCTGTGTACCTTAGCCCCTAGAAGCGAATTTTCTAAATAGGTCCACGTTTTAGTATAGCACTCTATATTTAAAGCTATAACGCTTCTCCCAGACATTCGGTATTTTCATGATTTTTGCGACATTATTCACCAGAATTGTTTCAAATTTCGTATATAAAGTTCTGAACCGTTACTACAGCTTTTGAAACAAATTGATTATGCAGGACCACGTCTTCGTGTAGCTTTCATACAACGGTATTCATTTGAGCGGTATATTTCTTCGAAATGGTGCATGATATAAAAAGTTCGGCTTAGTCGAATTTAGCTGTTTTTCTACTTGTTAAAACATTGATTGTTTTTGAGAATTTACTGCAATATTCAGTACATTTTGTTGCATATTTTCAGGAGGTTGACTCACATTTGGAAAACTTCACATTGGCTTTATCTTAACGCTGGCACTTATGCATTCGATTTCTCCACGATTTGAAAAATGAATCTTCGAAAATAAAGGTGTTGAGGTATTAGTATAAATTCGAAGAAGATCTAGCGATGTCCGTCTGCCTGTTGTAATCACGCTTTCTTTCGAAGGCTAAGATAGAAGGCTAAAATTTTCAATACAAGCATAGTTTCCCAGTAGGCAGGTTATGTTCGAAAATGGGCCATGTCGGTACACGTTTTCGTACAACCCCCATATAACGGTACCTCCCGATATTCGGTATTTTCATGATTTTAGCGACATTTTTACCTGTATTATTTCAAATTTCGTATTTGAAGTTCGTAATGGATACTACAGCCTATGACAGAAAATTGTCAGTGCAGATCCACGTCTTCGTATAGTCCCCATGTGGCAGTACCTCCCGATATCTGGTATTTCGATGATTTTAACGACATTATTCACCGGAATTGTTGCAAATTTGGTATTTGAAGTTTGTAATGGATACTAAATCCAATGACAAAAAATTGTCTCCTAACATTCTGTATTTTGGGGATTTTAGGTACCTTATTCAAAGATTTTATTATTCAAGTTTCGAATTTGAAAATTGTAATGGCTCATGACAAAAGATGCGTATGCTGGCCCACGTCGACGTTAAGACTCTAATATAACGGCTACATTCGGTATTTTTAAGATTTTAACAGAATTTTAAACGGATTTTTTTTATACCCTCCACCATACCATGTCAGACCCAACAGAGTGTATATATTCTTGATCAGCGTAAAATTCTAAGTCGATTTAGCGATGTCCGTCCGACTGTCTGTCCGTCTGTCTGTTGTAATCACGCTATCTTTCGAATGAATTGAGAAAGATGGCTAAAATTTTGCACACATGTTTAGTTTCCCAGTAGTCAGGTTAAGTTCGTGAATGGGCCATGTAGGTCCACGTTTTCATATAGCCCCCATATAACGGTACCTCCCGATATTCGATATTTTGATAATTTTAGCGACATTATTCACCGGAATTGTTTCAAATTTGGTATTTGAAGTTCGAAATGGATACTACACCCTAAGACAGAAAATTATCTGCGCAAGTTCACGTCTTCGTATAGCCTCCATATAACGGTACCTCCCGATATTCGGTATTTTGATGATTTTAGCGACATTATTCACCGGAATTGTTTCAAATTTGGTATTTGAAGTTCGAATTGGATACTACACCCTAAGACAGAAAATTGTCTGTGTAAGTCCACGTCTTCGTATAGCCCCCATATAACGGTACCCGCCTATATTCGGTTTTTGATGATTTTAGCGACATTATTCACCGGAATTGTTTCAAATTTGGTATTTGAAGTTCGAATTGGATACTGCACCCTAAGACAGAAAATTGTCTATGCTGGTCCAGGTCTTTGTATAGGCCCCATATATCAGTACATCCATATATTCGGTATTTTGACGATTTTAGGTACAATACCCACTGAAATTGTTTGAGATGTGGTATTTGAAGTTCGTAATGGATGCTACAGCCTGTGACAGAAAATTGTCTATGCAGGTCCAGGTCTTCGCACAGCTCCGATATAACGGTACCTCCCTATATACGATATTTTGATGATTTTATCTACATTATTCACCGTTTATTTCAAGTTTCGAATTTGAATATGGTAATGGCTTATGACAAGCAATGCTTATGTAGGCCCACGTCATATGCACCTCAATATAACGGCTATATTTGGTATTTTTAAAATTTTAACAGAATGTTTTAACGATTTTATTTTCTGAAAATTTCCAAATTCGTTCCAAATGGTAGAGGGTATTCAAAGTTCGGCCCTTCCGAACTTACTACTTTTTAATTTGTTTTTTTTTTTTTTTGAAAATTGCCGAATTCGTTACAAATGTTATAGGGTATTCATAGCCCCCGACCCGTGGTACAATAAAAAGGTAAGGTAGAGCTACCAGCTGATTATTTTTTTTTTTTCTAAGTGTGCCCGACTTCTGCCAATTTTGTGTATGTATTTATTGTTTTGAAAAATAAAAACAGAATATTTTCAAAATCAATGATTGGAAGACGCTTTAATTGCGAGACGCGCATTAAAGCTATTCGCCAGTTTTGCCATGGAATTGAAAGATAGATCTGTTTAGATAATATTTTTGAAAGAAAATCCAGGCATTTCATTCATTTTCCCGCTGTTTAACTGATTTTAAAAATGAGGAAAATATTTAATGAATGGAAAAAAAACTTGTTGCACACAAATTTGACAGGAAGCGGGCATTGCCTCAGGTATTTCTTAGTTTTACAAAGCTGTTCTACCTCCTTATTGTACCATGTCCCGGCGGAACTCACAGCTTTTTTATTTGTTTTTTATTATTGCCATTTTTTAATCGACTGTAGCTTCCGCTTTGTGGCACATGTCAGTGTCATCCTCTTCAACTTCGTGTAACATGACCCGATAACGTAACGGGCACTCCTTTTTTCATTTTCAAAGAAAAATGGCCCAAATGTGCCTCTGAACAAAATCCGCTCCAAATAATGACTCGTTTGGGTGCAGGGCACCAAATGTAACAAATACGCTTGTTACATACCGTGCTTTTCTTCTTCCAAAATTCGTCGCAATTATCGCACACATTATGCAACATTAGCATTATTGTCAAAGTAATGTCGCATTATTTCACAGCTTTGTTCAAGCGTATGCACAACCATAAATATAAATAATCTATCAAGTCAGACATAAGTTAAATGTTACAATTCACAAAATAAACACTTGTTGAAAAAAAAACGTTAGATTGGTTACGATTAGCAGACCTGTTTCTTTATGGAGACTAAGAGATGTTACAAAGAGTATGACTAAATAAATATACCCTCCTTTCCATAGCGGAGGACTTACAGAAAAGTATATATTTTTCATATATGCCTTGGCTCAAATAAGCAGAAACTACTTTACCAGAATCACCCTATTGTTAAATTGCGTTGCGTGTTTTTTCTGTGTTTCTACACGTCACATATAGATGTCACTATCTGAATTAGTCCAGCAAAATAAAGAGCTAACAGCTAGCTAACAATGCGTTATCTTATCTTACCCACATGATAAGGCATTTAGATAAAAAAAAGTCCATTTGAACAAAACATATTACCACAAACTGTACATACAACAATATAGCGTTTAGTAAAGAAACGACTTTGAAACGGTTACAACAGTCAACGACATAACGAACGAAATTCTCATATTTAAAAAAAGTACAAATAAATAATAAAAAAATATTACAAAATGAAATTAATGAAAAATCCATCGACCTATTTCGTGATTTTCTTAAGTAAGAATTGTTGGATGTAAAGTAAAAACGACAAACACTTAATCCCACAAATATTTGAAAATATTGAATGTGCAACCAAAAAAAATTACTAAGACATTTACCTGTAATTGCTCATTGCCAGTTACGAATTACAAAACCATGCCATTGATAAGAAACAAAGTAGATAAGATAATGAACTTGCTAATGACAAAGTGTATTCAAAGGCAATATTGTGATGATTCAGTGTGGAGTCAAATCTCAATAAAATATTTTATTTTGAAAATAGTTGAATGACGTCACGCTAGAAAAATGGAAATAAAACATTAGAGTTTAGTTTGTCCTCGCAAGGAGCATAGTCAATTGAATTACCAAAACCTAGTTTACACCGAACATAGTACCTAAGATCGCGTTAACTCCTTTGATTTTACACGATTTTTTATAAAGAATATTCATAAAAATGTCGATATAATGCTGGCTTAAGGAATATATTATAAACGGAAACAGGAAATACAAATCGAATAGGTTGACCATTCATTGACCATTCAAAACATTGAATACTTTTAACAATTTTCAATGTTATCATTTTTTGTGTGTGTTTTTAAATGGAAAAGGAAACTTTCGCTATCCACCACAATCTAAAAGAAATATGTGTTAAAATTAGTATTAAGAATTTACAAATTAAATGCTACAATTATATGCATTTCGTTATTAATAAAAAAATATTACACATACCCCACCATTGTATATTATCAGTATTTCAATGTATGCTTTAACCGATTTCGGGCAAAATATAAAATACTAATATAGGGTAAGTGTACCAGTAGTCGGCACTTTTAGGATTTTCGATTTTTCAATCTTTCAACATTCTGAGTGAAATCTTTCAATTGCAGATAAATAAAGTTGTTCAGATTCCAAATTTTGTTTAGTTTTCGAAATAATAAACAAACATTTAATTTGTTTTTATTAAATTGGCAAAATTTTACTAAAATAGTAGTTTTTTTGCCAGTAATCGGCACCATTTTCCAATGCTCGGCATGTCTATTTGCCAGTAGTCAGCATATGGTATTTCCGTAAAAAAATATTATTTTGTATATTTTTTATTTCAAATAGTATAAAACAATGATATATTACTAATTCACAGTTTAATCCAAAATTTGAAATTAATTTCGTTTTTAAATAGTGTTTAAATTAATTATCATTCTAAACCAAATATAGGTAGAAAATCAGGAATGGTATGGTTACCTTCAGTAACGTATGGATTTTCAATTAAAATAAAAATGAGATTAAATAAAAAGAAACAAGTACCTTTCTTATATTTGGAATTTGTGAAATGATCTCTTTCCTTTCGATAGACAACATTTTTTTAAATGCCACCGCTATCTAAAACGTCAAATAGCTGATTTAAAAAACCTACTTAATTTAGAAAAGTTGGTCAAAAAGCACAAATAAAATCAACTGCTGACTAAAACTTATTTTTTTATTTGAATAGTTTTTGGATTATTATACCCTACAACACTATGTGTTGGGGGTATTATAAGTTTGATTGGGCCAGAATTAATGTAACACCTCGAAATATTGGGTTCCCATATAGGAAAATATATGTGGATCTTCCTAGCTCGCCGAGCTGAGTCGATCTAGCTATGTATGTCCGTCCGTCCGTCTGTCCATGTTAATTTGTAATCACTCTACAGGTCGCAATTTTGGTCCGATCCTAACGAAATTTTGCACGAAGGTGGGGTTAGGGTCAGAATAGAAGCATATTTCTTTTGGAGATGATCACCAAATGTTTAGGGGTTGAAATGGACCAAATACTGAAAAAATGTCGGATTTTGCAGTAGCTATACAGGTCGCAATTATAGACCAATCGACGCGGAATTTAACATGTAGCTAGAGTTTAGGGCGGGGAAGAAGCCTACCAATTTGGGTGGTCATCGGATAATATTTAGCGGGTAAAATAGACCATATCTTTTGTGTTGAAAAAATTCAAAATTTTTCATTAAACCGCGAATATTTTAAATCTTGGCGAAATCACAAAGCCATGACAAAGTTACTTCTGATCTTTACATTGATGTTAACATCCAACAAATCGGATATATAGCAAAATATGTGCGATATATATGTCTATCAAAGAAGATATGCTTGAAAGATCTCTTATATGTCGTGAACTGATTTCGGCAGTTCTCATTAATTCAGAATGGCCTCTTGGCAGGAAAGAAAAAAAAAAACGTCTAAAAAATCGCATAAAAATATCTCTCTAAAGATGAAAATATTGATTTTGTAAAATTTTCTCATATTTTTTCAATTTTGTCATATTTTTGGCATATTTTCATTTTGAATTAAACATTTGTTAATATTTCTACAGCTAACAAAACTAAGTAGTTAGGATATCAGGATATCATATACAGATCGCATTTATGGCCCGATCCTTACGAAATTTTGCATGGGAATAAGATGAGGGTCAGAATAGAAGCCTACACTTTTTGGAGATGATCGCCATATATTTAGGGGTTGAAATGGACCAAAAAACTGCAAAATTGTCAGGAGGTCGTAATTATCGCCCGACCCTCTCGCACAACTTTTGTAGACAAAATACGAAAATGTCCATTCCAGTGACTTTTTGGAGAATTCACCAAAACAGGAAAGACGCACTTCTGACTATTTCGTTAACGCTGATTTCGTTGAAGAATATAGTCAAATGTCTGTATCTAATGTAGATGCGTTTCAGTCAAAAATGTTAATCTTTTGCCACTTCTGAGAGATTATAGGTCTTTGGGAAATATTGGTTCCAGATCTAGGAAGACCATTTACGTGCAACATCTACCAATATATATATATATATATATATATATATATATATATATATATATATATATATATTCCGACTAAATTCATCCTACAGGCAAGTACTTCAAATATTGACCTAAAATTCCCTCGAAAAATACCGAAAGGAAAACCTTTATATGGTAGCTATACGAAGACATGGTCCTGCATATACAATTTTTGTCATAGGCTATTATACCCATAACGAACCATAAATAGGAAATTTTTAACAATTATGGTAACAAATGTTTCTAATATCATCAATCTGCGAACAATTCCGGTGACCAATTCTATTTCAGGAGCTAAAGTACTCACAAAGAACTCTTTGTGTAGAATTTCAGACAATTCCGTTGAAACATGTGGCTAAAATCATCAAAATGCAGAATATCGGGGGTACCCATATAACCCATCTTCGAACTTGACCTGCCTGCATCATATATAGGCCGAAAATTATTATTTCGATGAGTTACAAACGGAGTGACGAACTTAATATACCTTTTATACTATGTATGGTGGAGGGTATAAAAATATATTTCAAAGCTATACATATATGTTAAACAATTTTCACCAAATGTCGTATTTTTTCATAAAAAATTGATTCAAATATTTTCTTGATACATAATGAAAATAGAGAAATAGAAATTCCTGGCAGTTAGGTAACACTAAGAAAACACTAAGTATTTTTAATATAACACACAAGTTAATTAAATATATGTTGTTGGTATTTTATACCTATACATACTTTGCTACATCCTAAACTCACAGATGGAAGTAAAAATTATAAAAACATTTTAAAATTACACAGAAAGAGTTTATATTAAAAATTATCCTTCAGGTTATGAAAAATTCATCACACAGACTTATTGCAATATGTGAACAGGAGCTAGTTAAAACCACATTACTATGTTCCTATGGTCATTCCAAATGCAATTGTGTTTATTCACATTCATTGTTAGTTGGAAATGGTAATGAAAACTAATTAAATAAAAACTAAAGTGAAAAGAAAAAAACATTTCTTGCGCATCCTGAACATTTTCAGCATATTAAGAAATTATGATTTAAAAAATGTGCTGTTGTAAAATGTTTTATTATTTTTGTACTCTACGCCACAGTATGGTACATGGTATCATGTCATTGTGCATTTGTTTGTAACATGAATAAAGAAACAAAATAGACCAATAGTTTCTTCAGATCATATTCATAGAATCACATTCTGAGTCGATGTATGAATGTCCGTCCGTCCGTCTGTCCCTGTATTTTTGTAAGTAAAACAGGTCACATTTATTATCTGATTTAGAAGAAATTTCCCACAAATCATTTGTTTTGACCCGAGGCGAACTTTATTGAAATTATTGATAATCGGATCAAATTTGGATATATCTCCCTTATATAGCATCATCCGATTTCATACATACATATAGTTCACCAAATGCGTAATATCAGTGAAATGAATTTGAACACATATGGCCAGGTTCAGACCAGAAGTATTTTCGACGATTTTGGTGAATATCCGTTTTCGTCCGATTTCAATTTTATCGCGCGCCTTATGTCTAATATTCGTTGAAATGGGATGGATTTCGGCACATTCGATCGAATTCAGCAGGGAAACAAGTATTTCAAATCGGTTAAGATATAGCTATAGCTCCCATAGATATGCTCACAATATATGTTTCATTCTGTTTGGGATTTAATATCAGATGCAGCTCAGAAATACCTCTGCCAAATTTCGAAATCGGTTCAGATTTGGATATAGCTTATCCTATTTGAAGTTAATATATAATATCGGACCAAATGGTATGGATTTCTGCACATTCAACAGAATTTATCCCGGAAGCAAATACAACATTTGGCAAAATTCAGTTTCCATATATTATTACCATTATATGGGGGCTATACGAAGACCTGGACCTGCATAAAAAATTTCCTGCCACAGACTGTAGTACCCATAAGGAACTACAAATACAAAATTTAAAACAATTCCGGTGATTAATTTCGCTAAAATCATAAAAACACCGAATATAGGGAGGTACAGTTATATGGAGGCCATACCAAGACGTTGACCTATGTAGCTCATTTCCAATACCAAAATTCCTGCAGACTAAACACACATCTAAGTAAGATTTTGTCAACCTACTTTAATTCGTTCGGAAGCTACAGTGAGTTCCACTGACAGATGGACGAACGTCGCTAAAATGTATATTTGGAGGTGTTACAAACCGTATATTCGGTATTTTGATGATTTCAGCGACATTATTTATTGTATTTGAAGTTCCTAAGGGTACTACTATCTGTGAAGGAAAATTACCTATGCTGGTCCACGTCTTCGCACAGCCTCCAAATACTAGTAGTACCCTATATTCAGTATTTAACCACATTTTTCAATGAAATTGACAGAAAATCCACACGAGGAGTTAATTCTGAGTACTTTATCACCTGTAAAATATCGTATATCCCCCATATAACGGTACCTCCCGATATTCGATATTTTCATGATTGTAGCCATATTTTTATTGTTAGAAAAATTCCAATCTCGTTTCAAATGGTGAAGGGTACTATATGCTTTTATGGTTTAGCGGGATTTCTTATTTCTATTTTTTTTTTAAATCCAAATTCCTTCCAATTTGCATAGCGGTGTAAGGTATCAAAAAGTCGATCCATGTCTTAATGACAACTCAATATTTTGTCGGTTGCTAGAACAACTAAAGGATTGCCCATAACAACTTCAGAATTACTGCCTATATAAATGCATAATTGTATTATTTGAAACTATTTGTAATTCTTGTCATATTTGAATATTTTTTTAATATAACCTCTTTAATTATTTCTTTACAGTTATATGTGCCTGTTGCACCCAAGAAACGGAGGCCGTACGTCGTGTAATGCGAGGACGTCGTACTTTAACCCGTAGATATTTCAGTAAGTCTAAAATACATTAAGTGGTACATTTTTGAATGCAAATTATAAATAAGTCAAAGGAAAAGTATATCATTTAAAGAAGGACCTCTGTATATCGCATCAAAGCGAAAGTAATATATGATTCCCTCAAGATTTGTAGATTCAAATACTCCTGTCAACACTAGATCTAGAGCAGGCAAGTGCCATATCGGTCCACTCCTTAAGGAGCAGGGCCCGCGAAATTGCAATTTTTTTTAAAAAAATGTATATATATATATATATATATATATATATATATATATATATATATATATATAGCCTGAAAGCCTCTCAAAAATTACTGAAAAAGGTTATAGATATTTCTCATATAAGCCGATAAGATTATCGGATATAGTCCAAAATTTGGTATTTAAAAAATGCAAAATGTAAAAAATAGGTCTTCGTTACTTCCATACGTCTTTGGATTGAACAACTATTTCTGATAGCAACTCAAACAAAAAATGAATAATTTCGAATTCTAATAACTCTCATCAGTGTTCGACTTTTCAAACTTCGAATATTCCAATTACAAAAAAAAAATAAGCTCACCTTAAATATGTTGATCCAATTGTGGTTGTCTTCAAACTTCCCACATTGCTATATTCCTTTTAACATTAGGTCTAAAGATAGGATATGTATGTCCAATCTTTGTGGTACTCATCCCCTTTCCCCACACAAAATTGTATACATAACTAAATTCTCAAATGCTACATGTATATACCTGTCGAAGTCCCGACCAACATTTCCAATTTGTTTCTTAAATAAATTGCAATATAAAATTATAATGAAATTGCTTATTCTAAAATCAACTTTAAGGAACTATGGAAAATAACGTAAAGTCAATATTATGCTTTGCACATTATTTATGTGTAAATTTCTGAATTCTTAAATACGCCTTTGACAATTTATCAAAAATGAAATCTACATGCCAAATTTATAAATGCATTAACTCTAAACTTGGAAACTTTTTGGTATATTTTCTTTATAACCTATTCTTCTCTATCCCACTTTGTGATTGCAGCTGGATTGGCTATACCCGGTTGGGCACTTGTGACTCTGATTGGTATTAGTGAACTTTTGCTTGGAGCCGTACTGTACTTTGTGCTATATAAATTTGTCCTTAGCAAAGACTATGAACCAACCACAAACACATATGCACCAGCAGCAACAAATGAGGTTTAGTCGGTTGGAGCACAAATAGTTGGTAGCCGGCTAAACATGCAGATGTACAAAGAGCAGAGGAATAATAAGCAGACAATTTTAGATACATATATATTTACAAACACACCTTATGATGTAAGCAAATACAGAAATATATGAACAATGTCCACACAACACAATATGCAGTAACATACAAACACCTCTGTTATGATAACAAGAAAATAGAAAACACCTGGAATCTAAACAGCGCCCAACTGCTGCAAAACTAAATGCAACAAACAAAACTCTAAAAACCAAAAATATTTTTTTTATAAAGAACTACCTTAATTTGCCTCAATTTAAAAGTTTCTAACTATTCTATTAATTACTTACATATACACACTTGAAAATTTATATGTTTTTCATATTAAAATAAATATAAATACAGAAAAATATATTGTTGTACTCTTCAAAGGTTTAAATCTAAAGGAAAGGTAAGAACTATAGTAGCATTAAAGGTAACTTCATTTAAAATATGCATATGCAGCTCTTTAACTGGACTAATTTAAATGCATAAATGCCGGTCTCATGTACCAAGTAAAAAAAGCAGCTAAATTCGGCCGGGTCGAACTTTTAATAACCTCCCCCATCTTGAAGGAACTTGAAAAATGTCAAAAAATCATAAAAAAATACCTCTCAAATGATACCCAATGATATGGAGATTATGCGAAGACGTTTTCCTTCGTAAGTATTTTTTTTTCATAGGCAGTAGTTTTAATGTCCATACCCCTCATATGGGGGCTATACGAAGACGTTGGCCTTCGTAAGCATTTTTTTCGTATGCTGTAGTAATTGAAACAATTTTGGTGAATAATACCACTAAAATCAAAATACCGAATAAAGGGAGGTATCGTTATATTGGCGATATACGAAGGCCCTGCTTACGTGATTTTTATGTTCTGCACAACATGTGGTAGGTGTATTATGTCTTTGTGCATTTCTTTGTAACATAGAGAAAGAAGCGAGATAGACCCATAGTTCCTTTTGGTGATCTTCATGAAATCACTTTCTAATCTAATTATGCATGTCAGTCCGGCTGTCCATGTATTTTTGTGAAGAAAATGCAGGTCACATTAATTATCCGATTGAGATGAAATTGTACACACAATATTAGTTTTGCCCTATTGGAATTGGTGAGATTCGGTTCAAATTTTGACATAGCTCCCATATATATCTTCAACCGATTTCGGGTTAATTGTGCACCAAATAGCCAACATCAGTCCAAATAATCTTAATTTTGTCACGTCCGACCGAATTTAGACCAGAAGCAAGCACATCAAATTTGGTGAAAATCTCTATCTATAGCTCTCACATATATGTGTCATCCGATTAGGTGTTTTAAGTTCCTCACATGCGTAATATGCACTCCACAAGAATGATGTTTGGTACCACATATCAGATACAGCCCAGAAATACCTCTATCAAATTTAATAGAGATCGGATCAGATTTCAGGTTTATTGTGCACCAAATGACTAATATCAGCGTAAATGAACTGAATTTTGGCACTTCCGACTTAATTCATTCTAGAAGCAAGTTCTTTAATATATATATATATATATATATATATATATATATATATATATATATATATATATATATATATATATATATATATATATATATATATATATATATATATATATATATATATATATATATATAGTCCCTCACATCCATAATATTCACTCCACAACAATGATAGTTGATATCGGGTATCAGATACAGCTCGAAAATACCTCTGCCAAATTCTATCGAGATAGGTTTAGATTTTTATATACATCTTCATCCGATTTTACGGTTAATTCACCATATCATAATTATCAGCCCAAATTGAATAGATTTGTTCATATTCAACAGAATTTTTTCATGTGGTGAAACTCTGTCCGGTATATATATTGCTCCAATAAATATTTCTTTATATAATTATTATCGAAGTCATATCATGAACTATACAGCAATGTCATTAGCAACTAGAGTTGAATATAGTTCCAAAATTATGACTACGCGAAAGCCATGATACGCGTTCAAATAACTACCATAAACTTTGTTGTAACCAAAGCTCAAATACAAATTGTGGTGTAGGGTACTATATATTCGGCCCGCGTGACTTTTGACCTTTTCTTACTGGTTTGTTATATTACGAGCATCATATGGAGGCTATACGAAGACGTGGACTACATACTTTGTAGTACCCATTAGGAATTTCAACTACGAAATTTGAAAAAAAATCCGATGAAAACTATTCTAAAAATCATCAATATACCGAATATTAGGAGGTATCTTTTTATGGGAGCTATGCGAAGATGTGGACCTGAATTCGCAATTTTTTGTCATAGGCTACTACTATTACTACTCATTACGAACTTTAAATAAGAAATTTGAAATAATTTCGGTAAAAATGCCGCTGAAATCATAAAAATACCGGACACCAGGGTATGAGGGATATTTGATATCGTGGACAATTTTCTTCCAGGGGGTAAAGTATTCAGAAGGAACTCCTTGTGTAAAATTCCATTGAAAATGTGGCTACAATCATCGAAATACCTAATATCGGGCGGTACGGTTTTATCGTGGATAGGGCATCTTCGAACTTGACCTTCCTACTGACAAAAGATTGATCTGTGCAAAATGATTACAACAGACGGACGGAAGGTCAGGGCTAAATTTGCTTAGAATTTAACGCTGATTAAGAATATATATACTTTGTTGAGTCTAAAATTATTATTTCGATAAGTTACAAACGGAATGACGAATTTAATATACCCTCCATACAATATTTTTCAATGCTAAAAGTCAGGAAACATATGACCTACACATTGATGAAACCGGTTAGTATAAAGCCTTCAAAATACCATAAAGTAAGCGGTACAGTTATATGGGAATTGGACCAAAACAAAATAAAATAAAAATACACAATTTCCCGCTACAGTGGTTGTTATCTATTGCTAGTTTCACTTACAAAATGTAAAAAATATACATACCATCTCCTCCATTACAAACTCCACATACCGAGTTTTAAACTTTTCCGTTAAAAATTGGGATAAATTCTTCTGATTACCGAATAACGGCTGGTAGCGTTATATAAGGGCTATGGGAAACGTGGACATAACACAAAATTCCATTAGAAATGCGAGAGGAGGAATGACTCATTACAAACTCTAAGTACAAGGTTATAAACAGCTCCGTTAGAAAATGTGAATACAATTTTCAAAATACTAAATTTCGTAAGGTACCATTATATCGACAGACAGAGCCCAATTACGAACTTTTGTACTGACAATATACCCATCTATCCGACATTTTAGCCTTCTATTTCAATTCGTTTAAATTGTATTACGCAAATGCGCAAGGTTCAAATCACTTTAAAAATTATCAAAGTGGTTGAAATGTAATATTTTTTACGTTAGTATTCAGAACAATTTTACCTGGCCAAAAATCGATGACCTTTAGCCACACACAGATATTTTAATCATTAATTTGGGTAGTTAACACCAAAACGATAGAGATATCTTTATCCGACTAAAAGACCCAGATTTCACAAGGAAAATCAATAATGATTTTCAAGGGAGCAGTTTAGGGTATAAATATCTAATGAATCGCCAATAATATCTTATAATAAACTAATAACATAACAAAACCAGTAAAGAAAATTGACATACTAGCTTCTAGACTCAATTCGGTCGTATGTGCCAAATTCCATCCCATTTGGACAAATATTAGATGTTTGGTGCACAATAAAAAATTTAAATCGGCCGAAGTTATATATGGGAGCTATATCCAAATCTGAACCGATCTCGATAAAATTTTGCAAATGTATTTCTGAGCTGTATTTGATATATTTCCCTAAATATTATTGTTGCAGAGTGCATATTACGGCGGCGGTGGACAAAAATAACAAATCGGATGAACAATATATATGGCAGCTATAGCTATATCTGAACCGATTTCGATCAAATTTGGCATACATATTTTCAGGCCTAATTTGGTTGTAAGTGCAAAATTCCATACAATTCGGGCTGATATTACACGTTTGGTGCACAATAAAAGGCAAATCGGACGAAGATATATATGGGAGCTATATCTAAATTTTGACCGATTATCTCCAATTTCAATAGGGTTCGTCCTTGGGCCAAACAAATGATCTGTGCAAAATTTCATCTGGATCGGGCAATAAATGCGACCTGTACTTTGTTTACAAAAATACATGGACAGACGGACAGACGGACGGACGGACAGACGGACGGACGGACGGACATGCATAAATCGACTCAGAATGTGATTCTATGCAGATCATCAAAAGGAACTATGGGTCTATCTCGTTTCCTTTTGCCTGTTACAAACAAATGCACAAAGACATAATACCCTGACCACCTTGTGGTGTAGGGTATAAATACAATTAGTGCTTTCCACCAAAAAAAAAAAAAAATAAATAAAATCCGTTAAAAATTATGTTAAAATCTAAAAAATAATAATATAATCAAATACCAAATACCGGGAGGCACTCTAATATGGGGGCTATACGAAGATGTGGAGCTGCACAGACAATTTTTGTCATAGACTGTAGTATCCATTTCGAACTTCAAATACCAAATTTGAAGCATTTCTGGTGAATAATATCGCTTAAATCACCAAAATACAGAAAATAGTGAGGTAACATTATATAGGGGCTATACGAAGGCGTGGACTTGCACAGACAATTTTCTGTTTTAGGTTGTAGTATCAATTACGAACTTCAAATAACACATTTGAAACAATTCCGGTAATTAATATCGCTATAATCACCAAAATACCAAATATCGGGAGGTACCGTTATATTGTGGCTATACCAAAACGTGGATCCACAAGGCCCATTTTCAATACTAAGAGTCCTGCAGACATAATATACACTTGAGTAAAATTTTATCAATCTACTTCATTTCGTTCGGAAGCTGGAGTAATTTCCACAGACGGGGATGGGGTCTGAAATGTATATTTCGAGGTATTACAGACGGAATGACAAACCTAATATACCCTCCATGATGGAGGGTATAAAAACGAAGGCAAAATATTTTTCGCTTCAAAAGTAATTTTGACAGTTCGAAGGAGTAAATCAGCTGAAATGGTGATTATTTACAACTGTCATAATTATACCCTACACCACATAGCGGTAAGGGTATTATGTCTTTGTGCATTTGTTTGTAACATGGAGAAGGAAACGAGATAGACACATAGTTACTTTTGAGAACCTTCCTGGAATCACTTTTTGAGTCGATTTATGCATGTCAGTCCGTCTGTCCGTCCGTTCGTCCGTCCGTCTGTCCATGTATTCTTGTGAACAAAATGCAGGTCGCATTTATTATCCGATTGAGATGAAATTTTGCAACCAACATTTGTTTGGCCCAAGGACGAACCCTA